ATATCTCCGTAAATTTTTAGTAAAATTCAACTGTAATATATCAAAATCTAAGTTAGTCTTCCCTCTATCTAGTGAATAGTAGCTTAGCTAGCTTAGTTTAATAGCTTAGCTAGTTTAGAAGCTATTGTGAATCAAACCGGATAACTTTTTTCTGGGACGCCCAGTACAGTACATGTTTTTAATATATTGAATACACTGTTGTGTAAAATTGTTGATGCATTTTTGCTTTAATAATCTAATTATTCAACAAATTGGTGTCCACTTTTGCATATTTTAACATGTTTATAAACAGACAGTCGCCATTTGAGCAAGTCCCTGAAATGTCATTATTTTATTTCCTCTTTAGAATAATTGAATACTTTCGTAGAATAATATTTGTTTTGGCCAAGCACTAGGTAGCTATGGGACTTTTCTACAAGCATGCCTCATGGATAATTAATTAGTCAACATGGTAAATAAACGTCAACCATAACCAAAAATTAAGAAAGAACGTGTTGAGGAATGTCAAATACATTCCAGCAGCCATATCTACTTACAAACTGAATATTTTCTTGTGTATAAGAGTATTTAACATCAAATGGATGTTCTGGTAAAATTATTGCTTTGCAGCATGAACCATCTTTCGATAATTTTGAAAACAAGTTTGTTCCTATAGTTGCAGAAGTTGCATTGCTGCCAGCAGCATACTTTACCCAGTTAAAAAGAGCATCCAAGGTTGATATTTCCAGCTGTTCAACTGACTTTGTTTTCTTCACAATATTACCGTAACCACCTATTAAAAAAGTATCCTTTAACAATTGGAATATTTCCACAGGAAGGTTTCTTATGGGGCGCCAATACTGACAATATTTGCAAGAAATTAAATATCATTCCCATTCACAAAATATGTCAAATTTGCATTTGCAAAGCAAAAAATGTCGAATTCGCATTCGCAAAATGCCAAATACACGTCAGTGATTCGCATTTGCAAAAAGTCGAATTTGAATTCACAAAAAATGTTTGAATTCGCATTCGCAAAATATGTCAGCTCACTGGTACATCACTGCCACTCAGTCACTGAGCTATAATTGCACTCAGTTCACTGCTGACCAATATGGCGGATTTACATTCTGTTTTGGAAAGCGCACAAAACCTTTTTGTTGAGATATGCGGGTGAATATGCGGATGAATATGATAACGTAGGATACGTTGAAACATTAATTGTCAGAGCAGAGGAATGTCTTCGTCTTCTTCAAGCAATAATGGAAAGAGTTACTGAAATAACTAGGGAAAGAGACGCAGCGGGTGGCTATGACATGCAGTTATGTGATGACTTTCAGCAGCTGTACTGCGTTTGAAGGAAGTTACTACCGCTTCGTTCAAAATACGACTGATTTGTTGAGTTGGTTAAATTTTTTGTGTCAAAGTGAAAGAATACGTGGGCCCAAGTGGCCGCGAGTGATAATCACAAGACAGCAAATAGAGGCACTTCGAGAAATTCACTTTTCATGGTCTAGCATTGCCAGCTTACTTGGGATAGGTTAGCTGGAAAATGCGGACACGGACACACGGACATGGAAAACGCGGACATGGAAAACGCGGACATGGAAAAAACGGACTTGGAATTTACTATTTTAAATAAAATAGTAAATGAGAGTTTTAAAGTGGAGATATACCATTGTGACAATGTTATGGTTTGTTGTTATTTAATGTATTTCTTCATTACTGCAATGCCATGTTGTAAATGTTGCTTTGTTTTTATCCCTCAATATATATTGCAAATACCAAAAATGGTGCATTTATCCAAAATAAGTAAAAGCCCTACATGAACATTTTTTATTGCGTATTTTGAAATTCCCATGCCGACGAAATTGGTTAAAATTTGTAGTTTCAAAACATCTCGAATAAAAACTTACATCAAGAATCCTGTTCTATCTAACTTGAAAAATATACATTTGTCCCATGTAGTTTGGCTGGAAAAGATTAGTTTTAATTGCCAGTCAGTGCCTGTGGTGGCTTATTAATTAAAGAAACTTTCGCCATTAGTCGACAAAAACTTAAAAACTGCAACTTAATCACCAAAGCACCCAAGCAACTATTGTTAGTATAGCTGTATTGGTCTTTTATTTACTAGAAATCAAATTACGTACTATATACAGTATAGTATTTTGCAGATACCGTTGTATTGCACTGCGACCAGGGCTATGTCCTAACTAACCACAGTTTGAACCATTAAACACAAATTTTGTTCTGGACATGCCTTGCATCGATGATAAAAATTTTTAAAATAATTTGAAATTGAAATTTGAAAGTATGGCTAAGACTAGTGGAAGCAATATTTTCCTGTTTCCCGCCGTCTTTCAACAATGGCGGGGGCGTTTAAACTACGGTCATTGTTAAAAAGCAAAACAAAAGTTGATTATGGTCTTCCACGTTTTGTTTGGAATCAAGTCAAAATCAAAAGAGAGTTAGCAAGTGGAGATTACGGGCAAGTTTATATTGGAAAATATTTGAGTACAAAAGAGAGAGTCGTCATTAAAAAGCTGAAAAGTGAGTCAGGAGATGCAAAGAAAAGATTTATCAAAGAGGCCAAAATGTTGAATGATTTAAAGGGACATGACAATATCTCTCAATTTCAAGCGTTTTGTGATAACCCATTTGCAATTGTTATGGAATACTCTGTATTTGACTTTAATCCATTTGGCCCAGATAAAGCAGTCACAACGTTGGAAGATTTTGTACATTTTGTGGATGACGAATACGACTTCTCTTCTTTTCATGAAATTGTACCAGTATGTGCAAAAGACATAGCATCTGGGCTTGATTTCCTCCACAAAAGAAACATTGCACACAGAGATCTAAAGCCTAGCAATGTTCTTGTGAGCAACTTGCACTACACCTCCAAACAAGACCAGGAGTTGGAGCAAACATTTGCCCAGTGCCCAATAGTTTCCAAACTTGCTGACTTTGGACTGAGCAGAAGCCTTCAATTTCAAATGCACTCACTACTTAAGTCAAGGACAGATTCAATTTTTCGTGGAACTCCAATGTACATGGCACCAGAACTTTATTTGGAAAGTCTTAAGAATGCAAGTCAAGTTTCAGCAATGTGATATATGGTCTTTGGGAATGGTGATGTATTCCATTTTAAACCCAAATGTGATGAGCCCATACAATAAGGAACTTGAAAATACAGGACTATCCTTTGATAAGGATTTATTGATGAATCATTGCATCCCACTTCATGATGAGAAGTATGAGAGTATTCGGGTATCAGAGTGGTGGCAAGTGGAGGAATGTTTTAAACTTTGTTCAAATTTTCTACCAAACCAAAGACCTACTGCAGCTCAAGTGTTGGACATACTCACCAGTCAACCTGAGAATCAGCTGATTTTGAAACACCTGGCAGTTACAGCACTTGAAAGATTAGATGGGAAGTTTGCTGTACTCAATGAAATGACATCATTCGCACAGACATTGCAAGCCCCAGTCAATGATGGAACTAACTGCTGCGCGTTTCTGGGTCTTGGAATATGTGATCAGATTTTGCATGATATTGCAGAAGCTAGAGAAGTTAATTGGAGAAGAATCATTGACATTAGTGAACATATGATCAACAACCTTCCCTTGCAATTGCATGGTTCAAGAGATTTAACATCAACCTATGATGTATCAGAGGCTTATGATATTTTGAAATCAATAAATCTTTTGACTTTCTCATATGAACTATCAGAAGAGTTTGTAAAAGGAAAGAAAGTGTTTTCATATGGCGGGCATGAAGAACTTATGAAATCTCTTGGTCAAAAAGCAGTTAGTGAAAAGACATGTGTTGGTTTGTACACATGTAGTCCTTACACATTTGTTCTTGGGATACATGCTGAGTCATTTTTTCTGGTGGATACCCATTGTATTGGAAGTGAAGTAGGAGGAAATGGCAATGGTATCTTGATCACCACCAAAGATTGTAGTCCATCATCCTGCAATGTGCTTATCCAATGGATAATAAAACGTCTCAAGTGCTCAGGGATTGATGGCAGACCAGCTTTCCAAGTAATATTTTTTTTATATCAGAATCAGTCAGTACACCAGTAAATCAGTATGGACAATTGAACTCAATAAAACTGGACAGCCAAAATTTTTGAGGCCAAATTTTACCTCCACACACAGGGACGGCGGAACATTGTTAAGTGGGGGGGGGGGGTAATTTGTTCCGCTGTCCCTGAGACACGCGTGTTTTACTTCCAGCCGCGCGTGTTAATGTTGTCAATCTAGCGAGGGCCTTTTCAGGAGTAAAACATGTGGAATATATGAACTATTTAGCAGCGAAGTTACATTCATATATATATATATATATATATATATATATATATATATATATATATATATATATATATATATATATATAAACTATTTAGCAGCGAAGTTACATTCATATATATATATATATATATATATATATATATGTATATATATATATATTTATATATATATATATATAAACTATTTAGCAGCGAAGTTACATTCATATATATATATATATGTATATATATATATATATATATATCTCTATATATATATATATATAAACTATTTAGCAGCGAAATTACATTCATATATATATATATATATATATATATATATATTAATTTTATACTATTAATTTTTGAATGGTATAATATATATATATATATATATATATATATATATATATTTTATATATATATATGTTTTTTTGCTCCTTTCTTTCCTTTCTTTTCATCTTTGTTCAATTTGCAGTTATGTTAGGTAAAATATTTTTCTCATGCAGAAGACCAAGCTGAGACATTTTTGGATATAGGATCAGAAGAACAACATCCAAATAATTCATCAACAGATGTGCTTAGCAATTCGGAAAGCAGTATAACAAGCGATGTGGTGGTGTTGGAAGAAATAGAATTTTACAATAGAAACATAAACCTTCCCATTTATACTAAAGACCGTCAAGTGCTAAAGCCAATTGAAGTCATGAACCTTCTAATTAAAGAAATAGACTTCCTTGATTCAAAAGTTTGCACTACTCAGCCGCTGCAAGTACAGCACCATTGCACATTTATAGTAGACATGCGATCACTTTCCAACGTGAAGGACATAAAATGTGATGACATGGGAGTGTGGATCAATAACAGTTGCCATAAATTCTATTATACAGTGACTAATGAGGAAGATATCACCATACACCCGACCAAAGAGAAAAATGGCGAAAACGTTGTGACGCTAAAAAGAGGGTATTTCGCGCTGAAGTATGACACAAATAATGATGTAAGGAAACGGATAGACATCATACAGCGTGAGTATACGATATGCTTTTAAATATTAAACCTCTTTTCTTCATAAATTTATAATGAGTTTTTTTGTTTGGTAGCATTGACGCTAATGGTCGGTTGTTTTGATTTTTAATTTTGTTTTATTTTTGTTGTCCAGTTCCTGACAAAGAAATTTACCGTTATGGCTTGGTGCAATACTCTTTTAAAGACGGGGAAGAGCATCCAGTGCAACATTATAAACATGGCAATTCCAAGAGAAATGATCGCGAATATGTCAGAACATGGAAGAGCACAAAAGTCCTTTTAGAAACAGCTTCACAAAACAAGCGACCTTGTGAGGCTTTACGCCATGTTATTAGTGAAGATCTCGGTGGAATAATCTCCTGTGTCGGGATTGGTCAACTGCCGCGAAATTGTCAGCAATCCAGCGATCTAAAATGCAAAAAAGCTGTTAAAGAAATGCCTATTTCGCAACGGAAAAACATGTTTGGGAGGGGAAAAGTTGATGATCCGTGGTATTTGTTACTTGGTGCAAGCAAGAAGCAGAATGACAACAAAGAAACTTCATTCATTAGTGACGTCAGAGTAGGTGGTGAACCTCTATGTGTTTTGGCATCTAAAAGGCAATTAAATGACTTGAGACGATTCTGTTGTACCAAAACTGAATTTAAGCCTCTGACAGTTGATCCAACATTCAACATTGGACAATTCAATGTCATAATTGCCGGGGCAAACTATGAGGTCAATTCGGCTGACGTTCTCGCATCTCTTGGGTGGTTAACTTTAGAGGAAAGACGTATACGTAATCAATCTATATTAATGTACAGAATATTAAATAATTTGAGCGCGCCCAACCTGAAAAATTCATTCACCAGGATTAGCACGTTGCAAGGTAATTATAATCTAAGAAATACATTAACTGATCTAGCTCTTCCTCTTCCGAAAAGGGATTTCCTTAAAAAGAGTTTCAAATATAGTGGCGCGAAACTTTGGAATAGCCTTTCTCTGGAAGCAAAATTAGCAGAATCAGAATACGTTTTCAAACGAATTATCAATTGAATAGGGTCACACCAATATAATAAGTAAAAATTTAATGTACATATTTTCTACTAACTTTGTACCTTCTCTCTTCTTTCATGTTTCGTCTGTAAATAGTTATTTTTTACTTTCCTTTTGCATGTATATCGACGCCCCTCATGGAAACCAGCAAATGTTGATGAGGCTAGCGTCGATCAAGTTTTTAAATAAAGGTTACATACATACATACATACAGTTGATCCAACATTCAACATTGGACAATTCAATGTCACACCCATTTCATACCAGCATTTGTTACTGGAAACGAGAGAAAAGAAACATCCAACGTTAATTGGTCCAGTTCTGATACATGAAAGAAAGACGGAAGAAACCTATTCGACATTTGCGTCTTCGCTTAAGACTTTAGAACCAGGATTATCAACCCTAATGGCTTTCGGAACAGATGACGAGAAGGCGGTAGCGAACGGGTTCAGCAGACATTTTGAACGAGCTACACACCTTCTCTGTGAAATACATTTGAAGAAGAATCTAGAAAGAAAGCTTATTGAGTTAGGAATTACGGGAGACGTCAAGAACGATGTAATTTCGGATGTATTTGGGAAACAAAATGGTGATGTTTTCGAAAGTGGTTTGACAGAAGCAACGAGCAATGAAGAATTTCAGAATCTTCTAGGGGTATTGAAACAGAGATGTTCAAACGCTCATCCCAGCGGTTTAACATTTTACGACTGGTTCATTAAGCTTAAAGCGCAGGAGTTTCAGGAAAGTGTTATAAGCGTTAAGAGTACTTTTTTGCTACAACACTACAGAAGCTGGTCGACATTCAAGAAAAAGAGATAGCGTTGGCCATTCTCGGTCAAGGTGAATATGAGCTACGAGACAAATTCAAAAACATTTTGGTAACTGCGTCGGATTGGAGCAAGATGACAGACAAACAAAAGGAAACGGCTATTCAAAAAATTCACACTACCGGCGTGGGGGGTGGTTTTGATACAGTTACTTCAGCAGTTTCACGTGCCTTGCAAGATGATAGCCATCCTCTCATGGAAACATTCTCGAGAGCTGGCGTTGACTGGATACCTTGTGATGTTTTGGTTCATGTTATCGCAAAAGCCTGCAGTCTAGAAGATAAGGTAAGTGTTCTGCCGGAAGGAACATACCAAACCGCCATTGTTCCTTCTTCATCAAATCTGAAAAAACCTCATGTTGTTGTTTTCCATGCCAATGGAAAGTGCGAGTGCCAAGATTGCCCTGGCTACACGTCGGTATTTGTCTGCGCCCAAGCTGTTGCTGCAAGTGTCAAGCTCAATCGACTCGACGCATTTTTGAAATGTTTAGTTGCGACTAAACGCAAAACTGGTGGAATTATTTATAGCAAATCTATAGCACACGGCATGCCAGCAGGCAGAGGGAAAAAGCCTAACCAAGCACCGAAAAAGAGAAGCAAAGCTAAGCACCCATCACGCGATGTTGTTGTCAGGCCAAGAATTACTTCGAATACAGATCAACGAAATCTAGTAGACCAAAGAGCGTCGTCATACATTCCACCATCACCACCTTGTGCCTCAGTTTTGCCAACTTCTGTACAACTTCCTCAAGCTTTTCCGAATCAACTTGCACCGAAACAAGGTGCGTTACGGTTTCAATTAGCAGCTTCCTCATCAATGCATCCCGCATACCAAACATCAATGGTCAACCAATGCTTTTTATGTTCAACCACCACGGCGAGTCAATATAACTACCCTTCTCCGGAGCAAGATATGTTTATAATCCCCGAGCCGGTGCGAAGCACCGGCGAGGGTACTAATTCCGCCCGGAGATTTTAATTACGCCCGGGAATGCAAATGCGAAATGAAAGTTGTCCGCCATTATGTCATGGACGTTGGGCGTTTTTGTAAGTTATGCGCATGCGTGAGTTTAAGACGAGTTAAAACTGGTAACTAGCAAACGTTTACAAACATGCGATTGGCTAAATTAAAATTTGGGTCACGTCAGCATAACTGATATTTTGAATTATAAACCTTTTTTTAAATAATATTTTTCATTTGGATGGTCTTAAAAATATACGAAAAATTGACTTGTAAAATTGATTAAAATATAATGTAAAAGATACCTTTGGATAGAAAAATTTTCATTCTAATGGATGGTGAAATATCTACGATTCTGAAGCATTTTTAAAGTGTTTTTGAACAGGTAAATGGGTAGATTTCGGTATTTTAAAGTATACTATTGTTTTGTAAGTTTAATATGTGGATTTATCAACAAATGTATGACCCCTCTTTGAATTTATTCGTCAATATATCGTTGAAATGATTTGGATTTGAAAAGTATTTATTTTTAAAGGTGAATTTGTTTAAAAAGTAATTGAAATTTCGCTAAGAATTGTAGTATTTAAAACTATTCGTTGCACAATTATGATTATATTATAGTCGAATTTGATAGCTCGAGAGTCGACTTTATAATTCTACCAAGATATAGGATTTTACTTTACGACTTCGATCATTCAGCAGAAACGAGTATCATAGAATTTCAGTGATGGAAATATTGTTTATAGCTTTAAATATTGTTTATTGTTTAAAGTTTATTGCGTCAGGCGAGGGGACTTTGCATGCAATGTATTTCTAGTTTATTTACTAAACATGTGTCCACAACAAACCTCCGTATGTTTTGGCTGTAGAAATACCTTAAAACCCGGTGGTTTTATTGGAAGACCTCCTTCAGACCTGGTCATTGTCTCAAAGATGGTGCGAACATGGACTCATGAAGGACGGCTTCAAAGCAGGCCAGCAAATGTTTCCTTTCCATTGTGTTCCAACGTGTGTACGGCAGAAGCAGCCGTTTTTTCAACCATGCCACTCCTTTATTGCCAAGCAGATTACCCCACTTCTTAAAGAGGAACACTGGCAATATCTTAATCAGACCTTTGGAAACCTTGCTATTCAATAGAAAGTGAACATCAAACCTTCTTTACGAAGTAGTTATGTTACCAAAGTGGTAAGGAAATCTATCTCATAAAGACTTGACCAAGAGTAGAAAAATATAAGGTGATGTTACACTGGACAATTTTTAAAAACAATTTTCAATGCAAATCGTTTCAAAACCAATTGTGGTACTTTGTAATTGCGAGTTTTTGTTTGTTAATTTAATGATGAAAAACATTCTGTTTTCATTTCGAATGTTTTCAACCAAATCGTCTATAGTTCTTGGAGAAGTTACTTGGAAAAGATGCAATATCATACAAAAACAAAACTGTAGTTATACAAATACTTAAGAAATATTTTATATAGAACTTATTATATACGAGTTGATATTTGGGTAAAGAGACATGCTCATGGTATACACAGTTTTTGTGTGTATATATCTATATACGAGTTGTCGGAGTTGATAAATGGGGAAACTAATAAACGTTCACGTTATATAGCTTGTTCACGTTATATGGAGTTTGTATGTTTATATTTATGTTTATATTTTATATTTTATATGTTATATTTTATATTTTATATTTTATATTTTATATTTTATATTTTATATTTTATATTTTATATTTTATATTTTATATTTTATATTTTATACCCCATATTTTATACCCCATATTTTATATTTTATATTTTATATTTTATATTTTATATTTTATATTTTATATTTTATATTTTATATTTTATATTTTATACCCCATATTTTATATTTTATATTTTATACTTATACTTATACTTATACTTATACTTATACTTATACTTATACTTATACTTATACTTATACTTATACTTATACTTATATTTATATTTATATTTATATTTGTGTTTATATTTATATTTGTATCTATATTTATACTTATACTTATACTTATACTCATACTCATACTCATACTCATTCTCATACTAATACTCATACTTATACTTGTACTACTTATACTTATACTTATACTTATACTTATACTTATACTTATACCCGAGCGGGCGCGGAGCGCCTGCGAGGGTACTAATTCTGCTCGGAGATTAGGAATTACACCCGGAACCCGGTAGAACATAGGCGAATCCAAAGTTGTCCAAATTCTTTGTCATGGACGGTCGACGTTGGGTGGTTAAAGTGTGTAAGTTATGCGCATGCGCGAGTAAGTCCGGTAATCAACGAACATTCTGATTGGCTAAGACAGAAAGTTTGTATTTCAATGAGAACGTCAGCAATTTATATTAACTGTCATTTCGTAAACATTTTTGTAAAAGCGTTTCATAAACTTTGTGCAAAGAAAGTAAAACGAGAAGAAACAAGATATGTGAAGCATGACAGTTAGCAAAGATGAACGTGGATACGGTCAAGACAAGGCCGTGTAAGAGGAATATTTCATAATCTCCAAACTTATAAATGTTTTCAAAGGTAAAGGGTACGTGTTTACTTTGTTTATTTCGTATTTGTTTCGCGATAAGAATGAGCCGTATTTTTATACTTTTCAGTTTTGTATGCTGTTTATTTGTTAAATTTTCAGCTTTTTATGCAAACGCATAAACCTGTAAAAGGCTATTACACCTTTGCAAGTCCTTTGCTTTAACTTCAAAAAGTGTTTTTGAAAGTGTAATTTGAATTTTGGTATCAAAAATACACACTATATTTATAAAGTATAAAACTTTTAGCAGCCGGCGTCGACTGCAATTACAGAATAAAACAAGACGCCTGTTCTGCCGTTAACTCCGGCGCACATATATATATATATATTAATATATATATATATATATATATATATATCTATATATATCCAAGTGTAATTGTTTGTAATGGATAAAAGAGTGCTCAATACTAATTACAAGTAGAGCGAATCATTGAATTTATCTTAAAATATTGTCGTCACTACACAGTGTTTCACGCCTGACCTTTTACAGTCAGACGATCTTCAGGCAACAAATTCGACGAAGCATTATTACAGGTTCATCCCTACACAACCAACGAATCGAAAGATTATGGAGAGATGTGTATCGTTGTGTTTTGTGTAAATTTAGAAATATATTCTTCTATATGGAAGAGAATAATCTTCTTGACCCTCTCCATGAAGTCCACCTGTTTTGTTTGCACTTTATCTACTTGCCACATATAAATAAGGCACTCACAGAATTTGCAGAACAATGGAATCAGCATCCTATAAGCACAAAAGAAAATCAAAGCCCATATCAACTTTGGGTGAGTGGCATGCTGGCATCAGCAAACTCTCATTGTACAGCAGTTTGTGATGTAATTGATGGTAATGATGAGCAGTTACAGTATTATGATGTTGATGAAGATGGCCCAGTTGTTGCTTCTGATGACGATAATATTGTCAATGACGGTGACATCATAAATACATAATTACTGACTATATTAAGACAATTTTTGTAAGTCCTTCGGAGTTTGGTATCCTTCAATTAAACAAAAACGAGGTGGCTAACAAATTGCAACTTAGTCCACAACCATAACATAATAATAATATTAAAACCTTTCATGTAATGAACTGTGCTTTGACAGATTATAGTTTCTGGTCTCATCCTTAAAACTGTCCATATCCTTTAGCACAAAACCCTAAAGCTGTGTTCATTGCTTTTTCAAAGTCTGCAAAACCATTGTGAAATGTTTTAGTCTGATCCGCAAGTAAATCAACAGAAAGGTTAACTTCGGTAGAAAGACTACTGTCACCAGTCCAAAACTGGAGGAGGTTGGTTGTTGATGGTACAACTAAATCAGGATCTGAAAAATTACAAATATTTAGTATTAAATAAATCAGATAATTTTTTTAATTATGTGCACTCCACATTTCAGGCATGATTTATTCACCACATTCAATCAGGCAATGAGACCAAATGTGCTAAACTGAGTTTTTTACTTCATTATGTTATTGTTGTTGAGAGCACAACCTTCAGTGCAATTGGTTGGTACATTTCATTGATTAATATTCAAACTAGCACTTATCTACAGTTAAAATTCTATTTAAATTTAGAAATCTCTACAAACTGCAATGCAATCTATGCTGTATAGCTCTTTAAAATATTGTCAACTTTTATGTACCTTCTGCTGTCTTCAGTTGCTTTATGTAGTCCAAAAAGAAATGAAAAGCCTCTGCCTTCTGCACATCTTCTGTAACACCATTGATTAAACATATTATTTGCTCAGCAGAGACTGAAAGATCAGAAGACTGTGGAAACACTTAATTGGTAAATGCTGGTTGCCTTCTTAAAAAAGAGCAAAGAGATATTGTTTCCATGCCATCCCGGATATAGATTATTTTCCCGGATATCGGTTATCTGCTTTTGCCGTTTATTAACAACAAAGTGCAACATTACATGCCATGCTGCAAGGCCAATATTGGATAGTGAAAGCACATATGGGAACTCAGATTCCAAAAGTGAAAGAAGGAGTTGATCATGGATATCCAGCTAAGTATGGGAATTGTCAGTCGAACTGGTACTTTCTGTCTGAATCTGCAAAGTTTAACATATCAGAAATTATATACTTGTAATTGAGCAACTTTGCATTTATCACATTTATTTTACTTATTTATTTACACAGTATCAATAGGAGAAGGTGCAGCATTTATTTGAGAGCAGCAGTTACGTTTGAGTAATTATGGCAATTACCTTACAGATAACTGCCAATAGTTCAGAATCTGGAATGTCATCAGGGACGGTCTATCCCGCTGTGTTTCACCAGAAATGAGGTATTCCTTTAAGACAGTGGACAAATCATGTAGACCAGGGCCACCATGTAAAATACTGTGTTATAAACTTTTCTACTGCAACATACATACCACACTGCTGCAAGAAGGGATTTAAAATAGGAAGTTTATGATCTATTTTACCCTCAAATAAGGGATAACTCCCATCCCAGCACTTATAGGATCCTTTGCCAGTGCTGCCATTCCAACACAAAAATACTCTTTGGTTGGGGCACCAGCATCAATACCAATCTCATTGATGAACACTACTTCAGGGCGTCTTGTTAAAGACATATGTGGTTTTTTGTAAACTGAGAGGCATTGGAGGTTGAAATTTTTACCTAAGCAATCCATGCTCAGGTGTTGCGGACGTCCAGTGAAATAGTCATCTGGACGTAGGTCTGCAATGAACTGATCAAGTGTTTTTTGTTGTGGATCTAAAGTACAATTAAATTCTTTTAATTAACCAACTGAGTCACATTGCCAGACTAATTTTACTGTCTAACGGAGAGAGCTGGTAGTTAAGAAAAATCAGAAGTTCAAGCAGCATTCCCCTAATGAAAAGAGTTAATTTTAGGTAAAAAAAAGGGCGAAGTTGCCTGTGCCTACACTGTGCGCTGGCTAAACGCAACGCAACTCAGAGCTAATCGTTGTGTTTACCTTCGCCAGCATCAAAAATTGCAGATATAGCTTCATCAATGTCAATTTTGTTACCAAAGAATGTACTGCATTCATTAAGTATGAAGGATAAATCTCTCTCTGGAAATATTTCTTTTAGCTTCATGATTGCAGTATCTTTTTCCATCTGTAAGGAAAAATATTTTGCTGATTATCAACAATAATTAGAACTAAATGAAATACATTTTAATTTGATATGTAGCCATTATTATGTTTGCAATAAGCAAATGGGTCTTGTGGAGTCATAAATAGGGCAATGATATTCTCAAGTTTTTAGGTTATGATAAAAGTTGAAATGTGCATAACATTACACTTTAATTCAAGTGAGTACACAAATATTTACCAGTGAAGTATCAGTAGAAGGCATGTTAAATGGTTGAACGTCATTTCCAATGTCTCCTACTGCAGTTGGCCCTTGACTCTAAAATTAAAAAACATCAATAATTAAAATCAATAATAACAATGAAGCTAAAAAGCATCAGTTATGTACCTTAGTTATGTATATACATGTACCTTGCTGGCTGTGGAACAATTGTTTAGACTCGTGGTAGCTGGCTGTAAAAAACTTGAGCTAGCTGCACTTTCAGAGATGGGGGAACTTAAACTATCAGTGCTGGATGTACTTGAAGGGTGTAACCTAGCTGAGTTGAAGGAGGCTTCAGAGCTGCTTGCATTTGAGGAGGGTAAGTTGACCTTAACAAAGGTTTAAAAAGGTGAATGAATAGTCCTTCAAAGTTAGCATTCTGGGGTTGGTTGTTTGAAAGGCATTTAGCTTAAACAGTGGATAAGTTCAAAATGAAAAAAAAATGATCTATTTATTGAACAACTGAGTTGAAATATTTCTATATAAATAGTTTAATTTTCAATGGAAGTACATATTTAATGCACAAGATGCAAGCTCAATCATTCACAAGATCTATTACAGTGTTTTTGAAATTTTGCTTATCCACGGTTTAAACCAAATGCCTTTCGAACAACCGGCCCCTGTATTCCAGCTAGTACTAACACAGTACTAGTATGTATATACATGCACTATAGCATAACAACAATGTTAATTATTTAAAAGGCAACTTTTTCATGTACTCTGATATGTGCCAGAAAATTTTGCCAGTCTGGTGCCCAAATCATCTGGCACCAGACAGAGTAAAGCTAATGTTGGTGTATATCATGGTGCAATGCAATTCTAAGGATTAATAAATAAATCAGTCAAAACTAAAATACTACTTATCTACTAATTAGTATTTACTGATTGTACTACTTTCTGGTTGGGATATAGATAACCTCTGATATCTTCATCCTAGAAAAAGAGCAATAAGTGATTTCCGCAATGAGATAAAATGTTTTCCCTAAAAATCCAAAACAAAGTAGAAAAACCTTACCCGATCAACACTGTCATCATCTGAAATCATCTGGTCAAGGCTGAGTGGCTTGACATACACCGCTCCTTCGCCACAAATATGTTTTAGACCCTCGTAGTTCCACTTGTGTGTTTAAGACTTGTGGGTCAACTATTTGGCCCCCTGAAGCTTTAACAAATCTCCCACTAAACCCAAATACAGTAACAGCTAACAACTAAATTGCTTATATGAAGCCTAAATCACAATTTGCAAGATGATTTTTGATATCTCAAGTAAGAATCTCAAAATTTCCCATTCTCCCTCTAATAAATTTAAACCCTAGACCACTGATCTTAAAATTAAATAGTATCCCCTTAATGCAAGGCATGAAAACCTCGCATCTTTTCTGTTGTCCTTGTATGCACTTGTATGATCCGGGAACATACAGTTGACAAAATATTTGTACATCTGAAATTTTTGTAAACTAGCATACATATTTTTAACAACAAGGCGACAGTACTGAAAACTGGGTAGTTTTGAAACGCCCACTCACCTAAAACGTCAGTATGATGTTTTACATGGCAACTTGAATTATTAAATGGTATGGGCCTTGCCCCTAATGAAAGCACGGATTCTTACCTTTTCTCCCCATTTGTGTTTTGAACTAACTTATCGGCAAATATTGAATACACCACGTTTTTTATTTCTTTTTCTGTTTGACTTTGTCTGAGTGGCACAGCATGCACCATGCACCCTTCCTTCTCAAGCTTACTTCTCTCTTTCCCTCTTGGAGTATTGATCGTGTTTAGAGGAAGAAGGATAAAGTCTTTATACATGACTCTCTCAGTTGGTTCTTCTTTAGATACATTATTAATGGTACGCTTTTGTCGCCTACTGCTAGTTGCCGATTGCCTTGAACATTCGTACGATGTTGAAGGATTATAAGGCATGCGGGTTGCCAGGCTTGTAGTAGATGGTTCGTTGGACAATGGTGAGGTCGAAGTTATGGGTTGCTGCATTGTATTGTGGCTGATAGTGTTAAAGCGACTCCGTAGCTCTTCTTCTACTCCTGGTAGTGCTGGTATACCGAACTCATAAACTCACACAATGGTATACCTATCTATTTGAAATTATGTGTTGTACTAGATTCAGTAATGAAACACGTGGAGACTGAGAGTTATTTGGAGACCCAGATTATTGGTTTATTCGATTGAATAACCGGTCTACAACCCCGTTGACGATTCTATCCTCCATGTTTAATTCATGAATGCTGTGAAAGCGCAGGAAATATTTTGGCTGGAAACTTTTGGCTGGAAATTTTAATTTGCGAACAGTGTGAATGCCAATTTGACATTTTTTGCGAATTCGACATATTTTGTGAATGCCAATTCGACATTTTTTGTGAATGCGAATTTGACTTTTTTTGCGAATGCCAATTCCACATTTCGTGCGAATGCGAATTCGACCTTTTGCAAATGCGTGAATCACTGACGTGAGTTCGACATTTTTTGCTTTGCGAATGCATATTCGACATATTTTGTGAATGGGAATGATATTTTATTTCTTGTGAATATTGTCAGTATTGGCGCCCCATAGTTTCTGACAATCCGAATTTGCCAAGGATGCAACAAGGTTGAAGTTTTCATTCTACAAATAATCTTGGTGAAATATAGCAACTCCCTCAAAAGAATTGGATAAATCTCTGCCAAACGAAACTTGCAATCATCCTCAGCTGTAAATAAGTATTTTTTTTGGCAAGGATGCAACAAGGTTGAAGTTTTCATTTTACGAAGAATCTTGGTGAAATATAGCAACTCCCTCAAAAGAATTGGATAAATCTCTGCCAAACGAAACTTGCAATCATCCTCAGCTGTAAATAAGTATTTTTTTTGCCACTTGCTGGAACGCTCAAGTTCCGATTTTCGCAGCCAACTCTTTGTCTTTTGCCTTTTTAATATACTCTTCAACTACTTTGTGCAAACTGACTAGAGAGATGCTCCTTCTGTTGTCATGTGTCCGATTTTAACACTTTTCTAGCCCGGCGTGGGGGTTCACATGACCAGCCCCCCCCACGAGTAAAGACCCTGGGTACAAGGTTGCTGGTTTATAAGAGGAAACAAGATTCACTCATACAAGCCAAGAGGAAACAAGATTCTACTTCACCATTGGTCTAAGTCGCTAAGGAGTCACGTGAGAGCGCGCGCGATCCACGAGGTTCATAGCAAACTTTCCTTTGAGGCGAGAAGTTCCTCAGAGTTAGTATGGCAAAAAATAGCGAAAAATATCCCGAAACTGATCAGATTGAGGAGATTTCTGCGGCAGAAGAGAATGCTTTGTTAGGGCCAGATGGTACTGGCGAGGAACGTGATGCTGAATCAGTTGAAATAACGAAAGAAGAGCTCGTGAAAATGATGACTGAAATGAACAAGAATATGGCGGCCGTGGCCAGTTCTGTTGCTTCGCTGGGATCGTCCCTTAAAAGAGTTCGCGACGACTCCAGTAGTGACAGCCACCATAACAAGAAACAAAAAACTGGAATTGCCCCAAATATCGAAGATGATCCCCACACAGGCGATGAAAGCGATGCTGCCTCATACAGCGACTCGGCAGTTCTTCGAGCGATTATGGCGCCAAAAGACGATACTCCCAAATCGATGGTCGAGTCCTCGGATTTGCTTAGCCAAATCGCGAGTGACTATAACGATGACGAGGACACGTCTAATGACATAACCGAGAAACTTGCTGAGATTGTCAATAACCGTTTCTCGGCGCCTTTAGGCGAAGAAAAGCTTAAACAAAAGCTGGGGCAGTACTTACGCCCAAATAACTGCGCTAAGCTCCCAGTCCCGAAGGTTAATCCTGAAATATGGATGAAACTGAACCGCTCGGCTACAAGACAAGACCTTCAAGTAGCCAGTATACAACGAGTCATTGTAAAAGCCGGAACAGCTTTAACACAGTTAGCTGAAATATTGCTAACAAAACCCGCCTCAGGCACTTCTGGTCCTGATATAGGCAAGCTTTTAACAATGAATGCTGATGCTCTGGCGTTGCTTGGTCATGCTACTCATCAATTGTCTATGCACCGAAGGCAGGCCATTAAACCATCCCTAAACAAAGAATATGCAACCCTTTGTTCACCACATGGACCTGTAACAGAGTTCCTGTTTGGTGATGAGCTTCAGTCTCAACTCAACAATATCAAAGCTTCAAATAAAATTGGTAACACCATGACCAATTCAGGCTCCCCAAGACAACCTGCAAAAGGCAAAGAGCACTGGACAAATAAATCTAGGGGTTCTTTTTTGGGGAGACAGGGGGGCAGGCAGGACCGTCCCCCATACAAACAGAAGCAGTGGAGAAAGAACAAATCTTAACCAGACTTACTACAGTACAGGTACAGGATTATGTTTCCTTTATACCTGACCTTTTAGAATATTTTCAATTTGAGGTTTCTACCTTTAAGGCTGGTAGATTATCATCATATGTTCAACAATGGAAATTGTTAACATCTGATGAGTTCATTTTAGATATGGTGACAGGGGCACACATAGAACTTTTGTCCCTTCCCATTCAGGTGCAATACCCACGGGAGAAAGTGTTTAGCAGCAAAGAGAGGCATATTATTGACTCTGAAATTAATAGCCTGCTTGCAAAAGGTGTTATTGTTCCCAGTAATACTGAACCTGGGGAATTTATTTCACCTATTTTTCTTACTCCTAAGAAAGATGGGTCATATAGGATGATTTTAAACCTTAAAAAATTTAATGAACATGTTGCATATTACCATTTTAAAATGGATACCCTTTCATCTGCTATTAACATGATGAAACCACATTGCTTCATGGCTTCAGTGGATTTTAAAGATGCCTATTATTCGGTACCTATTTCATCTACTGATCAAAAGTACTTAAAGTTTATTTGGAATGGGCAACTTTACAAATTTGTATGCTTTCCTAATGGGCTTGCATGTTGCCCTCGCATGTTCACCAAACTATTAAAGCCAGTTTATGCCACGTTAAGACAACAGGGACATCAGTCATCTGGTTATATTGATGACTCCTACCTACAGAGTGATGACTTTGCTGATTGTGTTGCAAATGTCAAAGCCACTGTGCATATCTTTGATTCCCTAGGCTTAATTACTCATCCTGAGAAATCTGTCTTGATTCCAACTCAACGTTTAACTTACCTTGGGTTTATTCTAGATTCAGTAGAAATGAAAGTTTATTTAACACAGGAGAAAGCAGACAGATTGATTAAGCTTTGTTTGGAGATAGCGAATAAACTCAACTCAACAATCCAAGAAGTTGCCTCTCTTGTTGGCATGATGACAGCAAGTTTTCCTGCTGTCATGTTTGGCCCACTGCATTATCGAACTATTGACATGGATAAGAACGATGCTTTAAAGGAGAGCAAAGGCAATTTTAATTGTCTTATGTCTTTATCCCCATCTTCTATTGAAGATTTACATTGGTGGGCAATTTCCCTCCCCAGTGCATTTAATGTTGTGTGCCATGGGGAATATGATTTTATGCTGCAGACTGATGCCTCAACCACTGGTTGGGGTGGTGTTCGTGGAGACGCTAGCACAGGGGGTCATTGGACTCCTGCTGAGTCACTCTGCCATATAAATTATTTAGAGATATTAGCAGTCCTTATGACACTAAAAGCTCTTTGCAGTGATGTGGAAGATAAGCATGTTCGAGTGCTCATTGATAATACTACTGCAGTAGCTGCCATTAACCACATGGGTACTAGCCATTCGAGAGAGTGCAATTCAGCTTCTAGATTAGTCTGGGATTGGTGTGTAAGCAAAGGTGTTTGGCTTTCTGCTGCACATATACCAGGTGTAACCAATACACTGGCTGATAAAGAGTCACGACAAGCTCTGGGCTCAAGTGAATGGGCCCTTGATCCTAGTGTTTTTGCACAGGCAGTTTTTAAAGCCCAAGCTTCACCTAATATAGACCTATTTGCATCTAGACTTAACTACAAGCTGAAACCCTTTGTTGCATTCAAACCAGATCCTGAAGCTTGTGCCATAAATGCATTTGCCATTTCATGGTCAACATACTCATTTTATGCCTTTCCACCTTTCAGCATACTCCCGAAGGTTTTACAAAAGATTCAATCGGACAAGGCCACAGGACTGTTAGTTATCCCGAAGTGGCCAACTCAATCTTGGTGGCCAAGAGTGATGAGAATGCTGATACGAGAGCCAATTCAGTTACCAGTTGGGAGGCACATATTGACACAACCAAGTCAACCCAGCCTTGTTCATCCCCTTTTTCCCAAGCTAGTGTTACTGCTATGCCAGGTATCGGGGGATTCCTTGCAGACCGAGGTCTTTCACAGCAAGCTGCCAAGTTGGTCCTCCAATCTTGGAGAGAAAGTACCCGCAAGCAGTACAACCCGTACATTAAACGATGGCAGTTATACTGTAGTGAAAGACAAATTGATTCAATTTCAGCTCCTGTAGAAATTGGGGTGAATTTTTTGGCAGAGATCTATGACACTGGTATTGGTTATAGTGCGGTTAACACAGCACGTAGTGCACTTTCTTCTTATGTTATTCTCCCGGATGGCTTGGCATTTGGCACCCATCCGTTGATCCGCAGGATTATGAAAGGAGTTTTCGAGAACCGACCTTCACTCCCACGGTATAGTGTAACTTGGGACATTGCAGTTGTATTGAAGTACCTTGGAAATTTGCACCCTGCTAATAAACTGAGTTTGAAAGATTTAACACTTAAAGTTGTTACTTTGTTAGCTTTGTTGTCAGGATAAAGGCGGCAGACACTGCATGCACTGAAAATCAGTTGCATGCAACTTAGCCCAGATAAATGTGTCTTTGTTTTAGATAAATTGTAAAAGACCTCCAAACCTGGGAGGCATTTAGATCACTTGGAATTTGTGGCTTATGCACTTGATCCTAGTTTATGTATTGTTAAGTATTTAACTGAGTATGTTAGACGAACACAGCCATTGAGACAGGGGAGTAACCAGCTGCTCATCAGCTATCAGAAACCATACAGTCCAGTTCATGTGGATACAGTCAGCAGGTGGATCAAGACCACGTTAACAAATGCTGGTATAAATACAGAGGTTTTTGCTGCCCATAGTACAAGGTCCGCATCCACGTCAGCTGCTTCTGTCAAGCAGATTCCACTGGACATTATTATGAAGAGTGCTGGGTGGCATTCAGACCAAACATTCCAAAAGTTTTACCAGTTGCCTATTAACAAGGACATAAATTATGGTAAAGAGTTGTTGGACTCTCTTAGCAAGTAATTTTCTGTAAGTTATACGGTAATAATTACATTTGTTGTTGTGGTTTACTCGTGATCATATAGCTTTGAAGTCTCACGTGACTCCTTAGCGACTTAGACCAATGGTGAAGTAGAATTAAAAATTAAACGAGACTTACCTGTAAGGTGAAGTTTGATTGTGATTCTACGAAGTCATTGGTCTGGAGCTAAGGAGTCAGGTGCCCCCCCTTATGAGGTTGTAGCATGAGGTGTTCCCTTCCCTAAGTATATATGATCACTTGCTATCTTTGAAGAATGAACCTCGTGGATCGCGCGCGCTCTCACCTGACTCCTTAGCTCCAGACCAATGACTTCGTAGAATCACAATCAAACTTCACCTTACAGGTAAGTCTCGTTTAATTTTTAATTCACTCATACAAGCCAAAGAAAAGTGGATTTTCAGATCCCAAACATGCAACAGTTGCATTTACTGGAAGACCTTCTACAACTGATGTCAACCTCACAAGGATGCAGGATAAGAAAAAGATTATTATACTTTTATATATTTGCCGTGGGAAAGTATAAAATTATCTCACACAAATGCAAACTGACTTCAAAAATATAATGTCATTAGTATTTTGATATTTTTCCTTTGGAGGATCTGATTCAAATTCATTTTAATCTAATATATCTAAGTAATGTTAGTTACTAAGTTCATTAAAGATACTGTATTAGTGACTGTTAATCAGTTAAACATCTAGAAAAGTACAAGACAGAATGGAAAGTATATTTGCAAAGACTAGTAGAGAAAGTCCTACAGGGATCCACCCTTCAGGTACTGAAATATAATGGTTTGTATGCATATTTGTAGTTTCATTAGTGTTTATGTTTTTAAGTTTAGTTTGATTTGTCGATTTAAGTAAATGACTGGAATGCATGTATCGTTATACCTTTAGTTAATGCATGTTACTGGAGACACAAAATGCAAAATTTCAGGTCTTGGTTCCAAGAGCACCTGCTTGGAAATCTGCTTGGAGTGTTATTACGCTTGCTCTCCTTGGCCTTGTCAGAGATATTTCTAAGATATATTTGCAAATCCTTCTTCCAAAAGATGCTTGTCCATCATTATTTATGGAGAGACTTGGATGAAAGTCACGATCCAAAGGTTTATGCGCTTAAAAGAGTTATGTTTGGAGAAAAACCCTCACCTCACATAGCAGGCTTTGTTATGATCCACATTGCAAATGAAAACGAGTCTCAGTATCCATGAGCTGCTGTGATTCTGATACATGGATGATGAAAAAGGATAAACGAAGTCGACTGTGTGTTGGCTACAGGAAGTTTTAAGATAAAGAAATGCTTTTTTTCATTGCCTGTTGAAGAGAGATAAGGACATTTCAAGTCCTGAAGAAAGCAATTCAAAGGAAAGCAAGATAGATTTTAACAAAGGAAGCACAGTGACAAATAAAGTGAACCTTGACAGTGAATCAAAACCTATGGAGTCAACTAGGAATATTATAGGTTAGTGATTTGCATTCTCAAAAAAGTAGAATTTACATTCACAAAAATATATTGGAATATGCATTTGTGAAACCTGTCAGTTTACTGGTTCAGGTCACTGCCACTGCTCTAATAAATACATTAACCAGTTTTATTTAACTGATGACTTGTAAGCTGTCGTCTAATGGGCAAAAAGTGTCAGTTTCGTTGCAAACCTCATTAAACTAAAAAAAACTATGTGTTTCTATAGAATAAAATACACTGAATTAAAATCCGGAAAGTTCCCATGGTTTACTGCTGCAGTTTCTTCGCAATTTATGATAAAAATCGTTGAATCTACAGGATTTTGCAATAAGATTCCTAAAAATGCATCACCCACTAGTTGTAATCGGAGATAGGTTATCCCCGAATGCACTGCTTCATTAACAAAATTTAACTTCCAGCACATTTTGAGATATGTGAATTGTCTTGGTTGTAAACAATGAACCATTGCATGAGAAATAATCAAGTATGGAGGAAGATGCAGCCTCATGTGTTATTCATTTTGGTGATATTTCAAATGAAATCTTTCGACAATTTACTGCTGTGTTGCTTTTGAAATTTATACGTTGCTGGAACATGGTTGACGTAACTGGCACTCAAAATGAGGTAGCAGTAAACTCTTTAGAGTACTTTACAGACCTCGACAAAGAAAAATTCTCTAGCGATGAAACAATTCCCCAGCATTGCTTGCAATATCACCTCGACTGTTTCCAAAGGTTTACAGACAAGACTAAAATTGAAAGAGCACAGCGTTCCGCTAAAGCTTTACCAGGCAAAAGCAAAATCAGCGAACCTGCGGCGAAAAAAACCAAGGTTGACTCAGACGAATACACAACGACATGAGGTAGACTTTCATGAGCTGCTGCAGCTGGATCTAAATCCACCCATGTCTTACCAAGAGTGTGTTTAATATGCAAGAAAGAAGAACTGACATACACTTGCCCGGTTAGTGAAGAAAATGTTTATTAACATAAGAGTGCACTAAATGAACCATGGTAGGCGCCCTGATGTGTCCTACTTTAGTATACTCCACCTAATACCAGATTATTTTACTCAAAGGGGGAGCAATAGCACTTAATGAGTTAACCCTAATGCATCCTACTTTGGTCAATTAATTGTCAAAGAGAGAGCGCTAATACTTAATGGGTTGTTAAAACATCTTTCTGTAACTTTTCCAGGTAACCAAGAAAAGAACAATTCAAAAATTGACTCAAAGCCAGACATTTGATGCAGGTAAATTACAACTAGCAGCAGAGAAAAAAAAAGATGAGTCCATTTTAATCCACATTAGGGACAGAGACTGTGTGGCAATTGAGGCATGCTACCACAAGAAAAGTTATGCTGGGTACACAAATTTTTTAAATTACAAGCAAACTGATGAAAAAGTTGGAAATGTTTATGAGAAATCATACGAGTATTTCTGTGAAGAGGTTGTCAAGAGACGGCTGATAAGCCATTGTGTGCCATTGCGAAGTGATTCCACAAAACAGTGCCACAATGATCGATGGTATGGCCTTGCTGCAAGCATTGAAAACCAAAGACATCCCAGAAAATTTTGGGCAACTGGCTGAATTACTACTGAAGAAGATAATTGCTATTGCTGTTTTCAACAAATCTCAACGTGTGGACTTTGTTACAGACAGGTACCCTCAGATCAGTATAAAAAATGTTGAAAGAACAAGCAGAGCTGCGTCTGGTACAAATGTGTTCTCAATACTAGGTGGGCAACAGAGAATACCAAGACAGTGGAAGAAATTCATGAATGTGGGAATCAATAAGGAGAGACTAGTTGACTTTCTTGTAGAGGAGTGGAAAAAGGCTCCTCTTTCCAGGTTGGGATTAGTGGGATTTTTTGTCATCAAACAGGAGAAATGCATTAAAATTAATTCAGCTGGCGATGCTGGTGTTGTTGCTGAAGAGATTTCAGAATTAGAATGCAATTATGATGAAGCTGATACTATAGTAGCTGATAGAATATGAGAAAGAAGGCGATGATTATGATGATTAGAATCTGGTATAAATTGTATAAAATTAATAAAATAGGTATTACTAGCTGCAAATGTTACAGCAGTTTGAGAGTTTATTTGCCCTGTTTAATATAAATATTCTCTGTAAAACACATTGAAATTTAACAAAACTGATTGTTAGCTGAATATAGTCAGTGTACTAGTTCATGTGCACAAGTACTATTACATGCACTGTATATTGTTTAGTTTTTACAACAGCGTAGCAGATATATCAGACATAAGTGCTGAAACATTTTAATACTGAGCAAAGATGTATTATTATACAACTGTTTGTTTACCTTAAAATTTATATTGTCATATATACTGTTAGCTGAATCAATGAACTGAACCATTAACTTGTTTATTTGTTATCGTTGCCAGAGACGTG